TTGTTCTAGTCTTAAATTTATTAATTTTTATTTTCAATTTTTATTTTCATTCATTTACTTAATATTTCACGTTTTTGTTCTATTTTTTTTTAGTTATAAAAAAAAATATGATTTAGTGTGTATTAAATTAATTTTTTTTTTAAACTTAAATGTTTTCAAAAATAGTTTTGCTTATGTGGACAGTCTAGATGGAGCGAAAACTTCCTAATTATATATATGATTTTCTGTTAAACCGAATCAGTAAATGTTATTCACATAGAAAGATATCACTTGCTGCATACAAAAGAGTTTTTTTTTTCCTTGGCAAGAAAACATACAAATGAGTTTTAATGCAATCTTATGAGTAAAAGCTATAAAATCAATAATAATTACATGAATATTGGTTTTGTATACATGCCCATAATACACAAGAGAAGGAACAAATCACAAATGGTTTGATAATATCTTTGATGCTTACCACTTAAATTTCCGATAGCAATAAAAAGAGCAGAATAGGCCGTTAAATTGACGTGATTCTATCATTATTTTGTAAGGACAATGTCTTTGACACGTTTTGCATATAGGCCGACTTGAACAAGTGTTGGCAAGGACTTGGATCATATCTGCCCAAAATATACCACTTTTTCCAGGTTTTACATACGGATCTCTTCCTAATAAACATTCAGTATGAAGTGCAACTCCACATTCATTGCAATATAACCCATTCTTTGGGTTTATATATTTCTCGCACATTTCACACCAATAATTCTCATCATCACTTTCACCTTTTTCGTCATCACTTGCACCTTCTTCGTAAGAAAATGTGAGAAAATGTTTATCATGCTCGTACCTTGCCTTATGTGGAAGAGTGGCGCAACCAAAACACAACACAAAACTGCATTCTACACAATTCAAAGGTTGTTGATTCAAGGATTTACAAATAGAACAAGGTAAATATGTGTTTTCATCACAAATCATGAACAATGAATGTGGATGAGAGTGATAATCAAACGGCTCACTTATAGAAGCACAAAGTGTGTCTAACAACAAATCACAAATTCACTACGACACATGTATGTGAAACCGCAAGAGTAACGATCACATTTTTTACATTGGAACCAATTTTGGGCCAAACCGGGAATTATATTAACTTGTGCTTTTAAAACCAATGGATGAGCATGTAACATGAACTGTTTTATACGGGGATTATTTGCACATGATTCATGTAAAATGAAATCACACTGCATACATTGGTACACATTACCATCACCAAGAAAAGGAAGTATGCACACTTGACAATGCTTGTTTTCATCGTATTCTCCTTCGATCTGTTTTTCAAGTCTCAGTTGATGATGTAGATGAGTAGAATATCGTATAATCCCATCACCTTCCTCTTCAAACATTTTAATTTCATATGTTTTTTCAGGTTCTCCTTCAAGCTCTTTCCCATCACATACATCACTTCGTAGGGCACATTTAGTATGCATTGCATAAGTGCATCCCTTCATGCATGAGTACTTTCCGTGATTTCCGTTTATCTTTTCATGACAAACTCCACAGTTAGTCCACTCCTTGTAAGGTATATTAGGAGTAAAAGTAAGACGATGATTGTGACGAGATACTCTTATGACATATGGTAAGTTAACACATCGTTTATGGATAATGAAATCGCATTGGAGACATACATATAAGTAGTCGATTTCGTTCTTCAACCCACAAACATCGCAAACCAAAGTGGATTTTCTAGGAAAGTAATGGAGGGTATGCTCATGCCTTTTCGGATTGTCTATAGTAATAGGTGTCGGGTTATTTGCACAAACGGGGTGGATTATAAAATCACAAATAAAGCAAGAGTAAAATAGATTGCCAAAGAATTCTTTGCAAGAGAAACAATAGCTTTCATGGAAGTTGGAATGGTCAGGAAACCACACAAGTTGGAGATGATGTTTTGGRTGATCAGAGGATTGGAATACAGAAGGAGACTCAACACATACATTATGGTAGTTCTCATTGCAATTGATGCAGAAATAATAGGTTTTTTCTAGTATCTTTTTAGAACAAGATAAACAAGCAGAAAAGTTGTATACATCACCTTCTTTTTTGTTGCGACAAAGCAAGGAGTGAAGATGATTGGATTTTTCTTTTTCAACATCAGAAATGTGATATGAACTGCTGATTACGTGATATATTTCTCCATTAATTGTTATCACTTTGCCATCTTTATTTTTTTCATATCGTTCTTTTGGGCATAAAAGACGATATGAAGGAGCGTTGGAAAGAGGATCCATAAATTATTCAAAAGGTTTAAGGTTTTCTTTTAAAAATTTGTGTCGAAATGTAAGGTTTAGTTGTGACGAAAATTTGCCAAGTTATAGTGATATATATATATATAGTAGCCAATAAAATTTTATTGATGTTGTCTCACGCATGTTCATATCAAACTTTCTCACGTAAAGCAAGAATACGATTCTCTTAGAAATGTATAGCTTTAAGTTTTGATAGTTGTTTTCTCAGTGCCCCATTTTGAAAGAAAAAGAAAGTGTTAAGGGAAACAATATAATATATTATTTTCTTAACTAGCTTTCCCCATCAATTTCAGCTTGCACAAA